GAACCTGTGGCCTTGGTGCTATCAGCACCACACTCTCCCGAGTGAGCCACGGGCCGGCCCTACAAATCCTATTTTGTCACTGACTTTAAAACAAGTGCTATCAAATATTTTTTACGAACACCTACAGTAACAAATATCTTTTACATTGCAACCCAGGACAATATGTATATATAAATATATAACTGAAGCAAAAGTTCCACAAATAAATAGTTACCCTTACAGCAGTACACAACATACTCTGGTATTTTTTATTCTATTTCCTTTTTTAAAATGCTGCTCTCAACCAATTAAATTGATTTCATGAACACAAATAAGCTATAATTCATGTTTGTAAACCATTGTATGAAAGATACACTTGACCTAAAAAAAAAAATTTTCACTTCTAAGTGAACGGGAACTAGAACAGCTAAAGGTAATTTTTCCCCCACCCCTTCTCTAACCTGTAGCAGTCAATGATTATATAAAGTCCTTCTCACACAATATACACAGCATTACCTCAAAGCAAGACAATAATCTCTTGTAGGTAGGTAAGACTCTAGGCACATTCTTTTCTCCAAAACTGACCACATAGACCAGATGAACATCCATATATGCATGTGTGTGTATGTGCATAAGCACATGCACATACGCATACACGCACATGCATACACACACACACACACACACACATTTCCTACGCCTAAATGAAAGCCACATCCTTCAGCAGTTAGAAGGAATATCATCAGTCTGTACAGTGAACTTCTGTGCAACAAATACCATCTGACATGGCTGCCACTTAATACATGTTCGTTGAAAGAAAAAATATACGAAAGGATGATGGGGTCATTGCCTGAAGGGCTCACCTTCCTCTTCGCTTCTCTTTACTTGAAAAAAAAAAAAAAGGGCATTTCTTGTTGTGGTTCTCAAAAAAAAAAAAAAAACTAGACTAAATACATTTATCCTCCTCTCTGACTTTTGGGACCTCCTTTCCCAAGTATCACTATGCAGCCCACCCGGTATTCCTCCTTCAGCCTTGCTGCCTCCATGAGACCTTCTTCTTAATTGCTTCAATTTTTCACATGTATTCTACAACAAGCTGAGTTCTATCTAGTCTATATAAAGGCTAAGCAGCATACTAAATGACCATTTAAAAATATGGTCTTGACAATTTTCCAAATATTCAATCATTATACAATGAACATATACACATAAATTCCTAGCAGTACCTATTAACTGCCTAGTATATCACTTAACAATTCTGCAACTGTTAAAACAGCCATAAAATCTCGATGGCTTAAAATAATGATTTACTTTTTGCTTACGCAACATTTCAGGTGTTGGAAAGACAAGAGAGGCTCTGTTCTCCATTGTCCATAGTCAGGGACACAGAACACTGAGCCTCCAACCCCTGGACCCCTCACTGTAGCAGGAAGAAGGATTTATCTTGAGCCATCATAAACCTGCTCTTAACTTTTACCTGGAAGTAAACACTTTTCTTCTGCTCATATTTCACTGATTAAATGGAAATCACACAGCAACAAATAACTATAAGAGGGCAGGGAAGTATAATTTTACCATATGGACAGAGGAAGAGAACCAGCAAAACTGCTGATCAATACTTATAACTATTTATATTCTTCTTGGACTAGAGAAGAATTCTAATTATGACCTTTAACGTTAATAGTAGTTTTCATCTAGGGCCAGTCCGTGGCTCACTTGCGAGAGTGTGGTGCTAACAACACCAAGTCAAGGGTTAAGATCCCCTTACCAGTCATCTTTTAAAAAAAAAACAAAAATAAAAAATAATAGTTTTCGTCTAGAAGGAGGAAATACAAATGATTTTTTTCTTCTTTCTACTTTCACATTTTTTCAAATTTTCTACAATGTGTACATTCATTATTTCTATAATACAATTGAAAACATATATATATTTTAAAGAATGATATCCAGCTATATCCACGGTTGCTAACACATACTCCACAGGTTGGAATCACAGTAAAAAATCTAACCTAGAAGTTATAGTAATTACAATCTTTATCCAAGGCACAGTTGCTTTTTCTAATGTTGTGATAGTAGTCATGTCTGATTTCAACCTAAGATGTCATAAATTTCTAATTTAGTTAAACATTAAGGATGGTAACACCCCCACACTGTGGTATTAATGTAGATAAGATACAGTACTATTCAAAAATATGAAAGGTTCTATCTTCCATTTGCTAAATGTTACCATTTCTAATTTTATATAAGGAAATGGTATGATATATGAATATCTTACAGAATAAAAGGCCGTACAAGAATCTCAATACAGAGATACCTCCCCAACTCCTGTTATTTCTTGGCTACTAGTCAGTTGATGGTATTTATAATAATGCTATCACTGTCCTATATGAGTTATCTTGCAAATATACTTACATACTACTTATTTTCATAAAAGACCACCAAAAACCTTAAGAAACCTATTCTTTCTCTACAAGAAAATTTTTTTAAACCATGTTTCTTAGCATTTAGTTTTCCAACCTAAAAATATGAGTACTCATGCTTCCTTTTTTTGGTGGATAAATTATTGTTAATGTGTCCCTCTTGACATACAGTATGAATACACTAAAACAGTCTTTTTTTTTTTTTTTTTCTTTTTTGTCTTTTTTCGTGTCCGGCAATGGATCGCAACCCTCAGTGTCGCGCCCATACCGGACCGGGACCAGCAACGGGATCGCAACCCTCGGTGTTGCACCCGTACCTCGCTCAGCCAGTGAACGGGAACTGGTCTGTATGTGGGATCCGAACCCTCGGCGGGAGCGCCGCCGCGCTACCAAGCGGCGCACTGTAGCAGTGCGCCACCAGGCCGGCCCTGCACTAAAACAGTCTTAAGCAATGCTACTAACCTAAATATAATGGCATCCTTAAACTCTTTATTTTGGAGAACACTCCCTTGTCAAAAAGAGTAAACTTACAGCACTTATGTCATAAAATAATTGGTTCAAATATTAATAAATGTTATTTCCAAACCTGGTATGCCAAAGTAATAACTTATTTTGAAATATACAAAGCAAAGCTTTAAAAGTATGCAGGAAGGGCCGGCCCGGTGGCGCACTGCTACAGTGCGCCGCTTGGGAGCGCGGCGGCGCTCCCGCCGAGGGTTCGGATCCCACATAAAGACCGGTTCCCGCTCACTGGCTGAGCGAGGTGCAGGCGCAACACCGAGGGTTGCGATCCCGTTGCCAGTCCGGTCCGGTACGGGCGCGACACTGAGGGTTGCGATCCGTTGCTGGGCACGAAAAAAAAAAAAAAAGTATGCAGGAAAATGAAAAAAATCCACAAGACTTTAATTCATTTCAAGAGAAAATAAGGAGTTGTTAGCATAAGCTATAAACACTTCCGTCTCTGACATTAATGAATTAAAACATGCTGAGACTCAAATAATTTATCTCTATTTTAATTATTGGCTTATTCATTTGTAAAGAAAACACTGTTTTATTGGATTAATGGCTTCAGACATATGATTTATTCTGTGATAAATATTCTTATTTCTTTGATTAAGGATAGCACATTTTCCTTAGGTGTCTTAAAGTTATTCACATATATATGTACTGAATATAAACATTTCAGAAAATGAAATAAAATAGCTACTTTACAGTTAGAAGACTACTGACCTTAATAGAAACTCAGGTTTTCTGAAACCTCCTTGGAATTTTAATTATAAAAATCAAGTGGAAATAAATTATTTTCTATGACATTTGTATTACATGAATAATTTTCTATCTTAAATTCATACAAATAATTTTCCTACCCAGGTCTGTTACTTGTCGATCAAATGGGCAACGGATTGCTCTTCCATGAAGAGGGAGGCGGGTAAGACAGTCATGACAGACTGTGTGGCCACAAAGCAGAAGGCGAGGAACTTTGTCTCCTTGCAAAGAAAACACATCTTCACAAACTCCACACTCTAACACCTAATATTTGAAAAGGAAACGTGCTCTTTAAATGATTTTAAAAGCATACATATTGCAGGTTTTAAAAAAATCTTACCTAACATATTGACTCAACCATGTTATTTTATTTCTCCATGAAAAAAAAAATTGTCTAGGTTGTAAACCTTAAATCACTTATTAGTCATTCTATCTGACAGATATTATATCATGATTATATATGTATATGATATATGATAATTATATATCATAGTGAAACCTCCTTGAAATACTAAGTGTCATGGACCAAGATAACATTGTAAATTAACACCATCCTTATTTTTTGAAAATTATGATGACTCACTGCATCTGAAACTGTAACAACAATATATGATTCTACTGAAGCTGGGTTCTTAAGCAATTTCTCTGCAACTACCCAACCCCAATAAACAAACCATCATTAATTTCAACAAAAATAATCTAAAATATTATTGTGTTAGTGCTGGAATGACAATTATTTTTGTAAATGATAAAGAACTTGTTAAGGAAAGATTACATGCAATTTTCAAGTATCTTCTAGTATAAATTTACATCAAACAATATAAAGGTAAAAAAGCAATCACCTTAGACTTAAATTTCAATTCCCATTCTCAATTAATAAATACGACCTGGGTTAGAAAATACTTTGTCTATCTAGTTCCAACTACAGGTATATGAATTGTCCAAGGCCACACAGTCAGTCAAAAGAAAGGCTTTAAGAATCAACATATTCTGATTCTCAGGTCCATGAGTTTACCTCATGTCTAGAAGTTTATGTTTATAAATAGTCAACAAACTGTACTTATAGCAATGAAGCACTTTCAATGCTTTTATTTCTAAGTATTTACGTAGTGTTTCACAATTTCAATTAATTTTTTAAAATACTCACATCAAACTACTCAATTGTACCCCAAACTCCTGTGTTTGCCAGTCAAGATCTACTGCAATCTGGCTCCTGTCCTATTGCTTCACTGCCACACCCTTCAGACCCCATGCTTCAACTATATCAAACAGCTTATAGTTCCCAGAACATGGCAAACTGCTTCATGCCACTTTCTTTATGCTAATGCTGAGGAAACAGCTAAACAAACATTTTCCTACTGGATCCTTTTTTTACATTAATAAACCAACAAATTATTAAATAACCTTATCTCTCAGGTCTAACCAGAAGTCAGTCCAACTGAAATGACCACACTGTCCTTTGGGTCCCCACGTACTTTGGATAAGTGTCTACCATAACACCCCAAACACTTCAATACCTTTATTAGCTTTCAGCCCTGTTTTTTCCTGTTAGACCAAAGGGCCCACAGGATATAAAGTCCAACAAAATAAAAATTTAAAAACAATTCAGCCCCACCATCAAACACACAAGGTAAAAAACAGAAAACTGAGAGTAGAAATAAGACTAAATCCATTATGATTTTAAAATTTACTCTGCAATTAACTTGTACTTGGTGCTTGAGATGCAAATATCTTTCACTATAAATAAACTGATAATTAATCCATAATTGTCTCGTATCCCAGCACAGTTCAAAAGAAACTTAAGTGTAACATAATTCATAGAAAAGGAAATGAAAACAACTGTTTAAATACATGAGAAGATGTTCAACTTAACTCACTACCATACATTGTTGAGCGGAAGCAGACACTCTCATACATTGCTGATTGCTGCAAAATGTTTATTGAGTTATACAACCTCTGTGAAAGGCAATTTGGCAATTCTTATCAGAAGTTTAAATAACTCAGTAATTCCAGTTGCAGGAATTTATCTTACAAATATATCCGATATGTATGACAAGATCTATGTTATTCCTTACAGCACAATTTGTATTAGCAAAAAATTGAAAACAAAGTAAATATATATTAATATTAGACTGTAAAGTAAATTATGACATTCATATACTGTAAAACTATGTAGGCTAATGAGAAAGACTTAGGAAGTTTTTTTATATACACACACACAGAATGATTTCCTATGAATAAAGCAAAGTGAAAAATAATAAATAGGATATATTCATTTTTGCATAAAGGTGGGGAAAGAAAGAGAGCAAATATTTTCATATATTGTTATATAAGTGTAATATCTTTCTGGAAGGATACAGTATAGGAAACAATAACAGTGGAACAAAGATTCCCTAAGAGAAACGGAAACAGGTAAGAACAGCTACTCATAATTTATATCTATTATACACATACACACACATTTCAACTTATCCTACACATTAAAAAAAGGGAAGATGGCTTTCTGCTGAAGATGGTGGAATAGACAGTCCCCAGCATCACTCTCTCCCAGAAATCAACCAATTTACTACTACAAAAAAGCAACTTCAGCCAAGCTGGGGCCTCTAGAGCTCAGGAGAAGAGGAGGAGAGACCTACAGAATGCATGAAGGCTGGAGAAGCCATGATGATAGAAAAAACTGCTCTGACTGTTTTGTATGGTGGCTGCTTTAAGGCTGGAGCTGCTGTGCCTTTCGAATGAAGTTACGTGGAGGCGGCAGGGGAAAAGAGGGCCTTGGTGGCCCCCAGGCCAGCAAGACCACTAACAGGGTTCCCCTGGACCCACATAGGAGCAAGGAGCCACAACAGCTGGAAAAAAGAGCAATTCAGAGGCCGGTGAGTCATCGCAAGGGACTGGTGCACAGCGGGTCCCATGGGAAGTGTTTGCAGCACGGGCAGTGGGGGAGACGGGCCCACCCGGGGAACACTGGGGCACAGCAAGGATAGCTGACTAGCACCCCAATCAGCATAGGACCACTCAGAGGAGACTGGTCAGAAATATAGAATTGCATGGGATGCAGTTTGATGAAAAGACTCAGGCCCAGATCAGAGTTTTTACACAACCCAGGTGCACCAGGTCTCTGGAGAGCCAGAAGTACCTATAAAGTCAACCATTAAAACCTGAGCTGCACAGAAAGCCTTCCCTAGGAAATCAGCAGCAAAGCAGCAATTTAGCTAAACCACACATCTCAAGTACTGGTCCTCACAAGAAGATCCCCAACTTTAGAGGTAAGCAAAGGACAAAAAATTAGTTCTGGTCCAGGCACACCAACAGCACTTCAGGGCCTCCCCCCCCAACCGGGACCTGAGGCCTGCAGCCAGGGACCGAACACCCCTCCCACAACCAGGCACACCACCAGTGCCAAGAAGCATGCTAAAAACATCACCTCCATGTGGGTGGCCCACCACAGCCACCACAATAACCACAGCTGCTGCAAAAGCTGCTAGATGCCACAACCACCACACAGATGGTCTGCCAGCCACTGGAGTACACTGACACAAGGAGAGTCACCAGCAGAGACCAAAGAAAAGAAAAGGATGTCTCTCTCCACAAAGCCCATTCCAGAGTGACAGAAGAAGCATCTGCTCCATGATAATACTGGGGGACCTGAACACACCTCTCAACATTGGACAGATCATCTGGGCAACAAATCAACAGAGTAACCATTACTCTTTCAGGAGATAAGAAATCGGGGTTATCAGAGGTGGGGGGGAGGGCGAGGGGGATAGGGAGAGATTGGACAAGGGGCATAAAGAATAAATACGATTTGTAACAATATATATGCTAGTAATATTGGTTTGATCAACATGTCAATGTTGAACCCCAAAAATATGTATAATCAATTATGATTCAATAAAAATTTCTTTTAAAAAAGGAAAGGTAAGTTTCTTCATCACCTTCAATTAAATACAGAAAAAAAATCACAATAATTTAGATATTATAAAATAAATGCAACATTTTTATAAATGCTCACTATTGTGATACTAAAATATTTCTTTTAAAAAAGGAAAGGTAAGTTTCTTCATCACCTTCAATTAAATACAGAAAAAAAAATCACAATAATTTAGATATTATAAAATAAATGCAACATTTTTATAAATGCTCACTATTGTGATACTAAAATTAAACTTTATTTATGACAATGAACTCCAAAGAACCAAACTGAAAATTTATTTAGTTCACTCATATCTTATATCTCTGACCCCAGCACTATACAAGAGAACTTGCTGATATTGCAACCATTGTTTTTTTCAAAAAGCACTAGTGAAATTCCACTGATTAGTAAACCAAACAGGGGTCCAAAAATAAAATTACTATTTTCCATGAACTTGGTAAATAATAGAACAAAACATTCTTTCCTCACTATCTATGAATAGGAATTGTGGATAACAACATAAGAAATTAAGTCCTAGATTGCAAAAAAGCTCTTAATTTTACACTTAACAGATATGCCAAAAAAAAAAGCTTCAAATTTACTACTTGTCAATCAAATTTTAATAAACCAGACCACATTTTGAAAGGACTAAGGCAGCTCATAAAGCAACAGAAATTTGCTGTGATTCATTTAAGTGTAAATAATTTCACACTATCAGATTTCTGTCTTTGCTTTTCCTAATGATGAAAACCCTGTCATATCAACTTCTTCATTAAGCAAGAGACCAGTTTACACAGTATTACCATTATATACTCCAACCTTTGCCATCCAGTGAATACTTGCTTTTATTTATGAAATGACAACGAAGTTTTTTTCTAATTTATGCCACTATACTTATTACAAATTATGGAACGAAGATCTTCTCAAAAAGGATATCTTATTGCACAGCTCAGGAACATTTTATTTGTTAAGATGAAAATGAATGAAATGAGTCTCTACTAATTTGCTTTGGTTCACTTTTGAGATTGTAAGGCAAACAGGGTAACAAAAATAGAAACAGCAATGACATCCATTCCAATTGTGGGGAAAAAAACTTAAACTTTGAGTTCATTCACAAAATAATCTGCAGGTATTCTCTACTTAGCAAAAGCACAATTTAACAAATGAAATTGTAACCATACATTGTGCCTAAAAATGAGAGGTCCTCTGCATCTCAGATATGTTGTGTACCTTCAGGATAACTTCATTAATATATAAAGGTCAACTGAATCAACCACCACCAATATTGACTGATACTAAGTTGTGGGCAGAAATGTCTCATCTGCTGTCATATAAACCAGTATGAGGTGAAAAATCATAGGTGCCTCTTATTCAAGATGTTAAAAGAACTTCACATATCTTGGTTCAGTGGTTCTCAATCATGGATCTACATTAAAATCATTTCTGAGAATTTAAAAGTATATACTGATGTCAACCTAATCAGAATTGGAAAAGGAGTGCATCAGTAGTTTTTAAAAAGTCCTCAGTGATCCTAATATGTAGCCAGGAACAAGAATTACCAATCTCTTAGATTACAGATGACCCTGAAAGTTACTCTAGAAACCACTGCAATCAGTTCTCCCTTCCAGATCTTTCTGTATATCCAGTGGAAGGAAAAAATGAATTTCATACATTTCAATTGATTTTCCTAGTAAATGCATTTTGGAACATTTATACATGATAGAATCTAAAACTTCAAGCATAGGGCAATTCATAATGCCCAACTATGCTGCAGTTGGAGACTTCTCAACAATACTGGTAGGCTGTACTAAGAGGAGAGGGGGCAGCTCAACCAATAATAAATGTCTGATTATAGAAGTAGTGCAACAGTAAACAGTAGACTTCAGAACCAGTCAGCCCTGGGCTCTGCCACACGCTGTGTTAACCTAAACCTGGGTTTCCTCCCCTGTAAAAATGGGAATTAACATCTACCTCATAAGTAAATATTAACGTGCTAAATCACCTAACATAGTACCTGCCGATTATAATGGTTCGATTTAATTAAAATAAGTTAATTAATGCCCGTTGAGCCTAACTAACTGAATCGGGGGACCTGGGGAAAGACCCTATCGGTCCAGGTCACTCCCACAGGCCCACAAGCTCATTTTCACAAACGTTCCCGTTGTCGACGCTAACACTTGGCATGAGCAGAAGACCAGGCAACTGCAGGGCAGCGGGGATAAAGGTCGCGGAGGCGAGGTGGAGACTGGTAAAGTCGAGAGGGGCCCAAAGGCCGCGCATCCCGCCCATCCAAGCCTAGGCCGCGGCGATGCCGCCAGGACTCCAGGATGAACCGAAGGGAGGCCGATGGTGAAGAACAGAGCACGCAAGGTCCCTCACCTTCACCACAGCCGTCCCCCGGGTGCCCTGCCGACCACTGTCTAGTCCCGCTCCAGGCTTGTTTACAACCAGGGAAGCCATCCTGGGAGGAGCAGCGCCGCAAACGCAGCCGTCAAAGCCTTCAGCTGAGAGGCGAGGTGGAGCCACCTACCCACAGGCTTCGGCGCACGACAATGACGCACGCGCGCGGCGCGACTCGGGGCGGTGCTCGGCCGACCTCTTCCTTCCTCCCCCGTCTGGCCTTGGCTGTTTGACTGCACAGCTTCGTGCAGAGGCATTTTGTTATTTTTATTGTTAAAAAGTCTGCAACTGATGGAAGAAAAAAGTCAAAATTAAAGTTGTGGGGTGAAACTCCCGGTCCTACAGTGATTTCTCCACTGCAACTGTAAACCAGCGCGGGTGGGAATGGTGAAGGCGGGGGCGGGGAGCGGAACAACCTCCATCTCCCTGCATACAATGAGATTTTTGTAGAAACTACAAGTCCCAGCATGCCACCCTCTTTCTCGTTTTCACTCGGGCAATGTAGGCATTTGGGAAGCCGTGTGTTGTTACCAAGTAGTGGTTTTTTGAGGTCGCGATGTGGGATTGTAGATACGAAACAGTATCTTATGCATAAGTCTCTCAGACACAGGAATGGCTTTGGTCAAAAGAGTCCTAAAAAGACGTAGTAAAAGGAGAATTTAAGGTGTTACCAGCAGAGTGAAGCTGTTGGGAGTGCGTTTGACGCCCGATCTTCCCAAACGCGCGCATTTGTATTTTCTTCCGGGCCGGGTTGAACCTCTTCAGGCCCCGTAGGCAGTGGGTGAAAAGTGCCCGTCAAAATGGAAGTGAATGTCCCCAAACAGGAGCACCTGCTGGCGTTGAAAGGTAAGTTTTTGCGAACCTGAGTCCCCTTATTCTACTTTCTTCCCTTCTCACTGTTTCTCGAAGCTTCTGCCGCATAGACCTAGCCTCTGGGATGTAGGCCTCCTTCGTAACACCCAATGCTCGCCCTCCTGCTTTGTCTTTTGGTGCCCAGCTTGACGAAGCGATTTCTCCTCTTTGCTTTTTAGGTTTAAGAGCCCCTTTCTAGAATGAAATAGGTACCTGGTAAATCACTTTCTCTGCTCTATGCTGCTGCGCTCACCAGATTTTAGCCGTAGAAGCTAACGTCCCGACCCTACCAGGGAGATCTCTATGAACCGGGACGAATTATAGCGGGCATCTATCCTTCTATCTCTTGTCTCTTCGTGTGTCACTGACGAGGTCACCAGACTTCAGCTTCATCTGTAAAATAAGTATTGCATGACAACAGCGCCAAGGATTTAGCAATACACAGAAGTACAATATATAACTTAGATCTTAGAAAATATACTGTAGCTTACTTCAAAGTATTGTGTCTGCGGAAAATATGTCCAGAATCTCATGTCAACTTTCATTTCCTGTATACGGCAATTTTGAGTAAGTTTGATGACTTATTTAGATCATTATGTGGAAAAACACAGGACAGATTTTTCTGTAATTCTTGTTGCAAAGTATTGTGTCTGCGGAAAATATGTCCAGAATCTCATGTCAACTTTCATTTCCTGTATATGGCAATTTTGAGTAAGTTTGATGACTTATTTAGATCATTATGTGGAAAAACACAGGACAGATTTTTCTGTAATTCTTGTTGTTTTCTGAAAACAAAAATGTTTTCAGCTTTATTTCATCTGTTTTCTAGTACAAATGAACTTATTTCTTGGGTGCTCTAATATATGGTTAATAATGCCTTCTTGGACTGTGCTGAGGAAATGGTCAATAGACATTTGAATTCAGTTGAATTTTGCACTTACTTTGCTTATGACATCCATTTTGAGGTCCTCCTTATACCTCCGTTGTGACGTAGGCATCAAACATTCCAGAAGCTCAGCATTCCCATTTGTAACATAGAATCATACACTGATAGTTCGAGTTATCTATATAGAACTCTGTCTATAGAACTAAGAAAGTTTGCAATGTGAAGTAATATATTGATGGGACCTGTAAGTTTAGCCTAATCAAATGCTCTAGATTTGGGGTGATTATTCGTAGAGAAAATGGAAAAGAAGAAAAGGAACTAATTGGCATGTTCTATCTCTCAATCTCACATCAAGTAAGTGGAAAAGATACTACTTATCACTCACTTGATGTTAAGCAACTTTTCCAAGATCACATATCTACTAAAGTGATTGAGACAATATTTCAACACGAGGATTGCCTACCTCTTTCCAAGATGCCATGTTGCCTCCTAATGAATGAAACAGCATTTTCAGAGATCATTCCCTTGCAGAATACTTTGAGAATTTGGAAAAATTCTATTACTGCTAGGTGTGATTTTATACAAATTAGAAGCTATTAAAAAGTTAGATTCCTTTGATATGGACTCTGCCACAGGGGATTTTTAGTTTTCTGTTATTCTTTATTTTCCAAAGCAGAAAATAACCTAGGAAAGAGTATTTAAGCAGCCTGAAGGGACAAGTGCTTTAAAATTCACTGATAGTTTCAGCTTTATTAAACCTCTTTGGTACCTTTCTTCCCCCGTTGTCCTAGTTAATCAAGAATTTTCACAAGTTTTAATTCTACTGATGTTGAATGCCATATATATCAATTTAAATGGTAATTTAAGTTTACTTTCTTATTTTAATATGTAAGGTGTTAAGGTAATATCTTGTTACTCTTGAAAAGACAAAATTTTTATTTAAAAGGAGCTCTCACAACAGTTGACCCATGTGTATAACAATGAATAAATTCAGACAACAGTGAAAGAATTCTCAATCCCATATCTTACAATGTGAAAATGTAAGGAAGTGGGAAGGGAAAAAAAGGGCATTATTAATTCCTGAAAGAATATATTATCACATATTTAGATCCATGTTAAAAGTTAGGGATATAAAGGATCACAGTCATTTGTGAATTTGAGAGTTGTCAAATCTGTTAGTGGCCATTAACAGTAGATAAAAAGAATTACTATGAGATTAGCTATTTCTTCTGACTCTTCAGAATCAGGCAGCGGTTCTTTTGTGACATCATGACAGTCTCCACAATCATGCAATCAATGGGAGAACGCTCATCATGTAGTTTTCTAATGATTTCTGGAGAGAAGGGATTTATTATTATTTTCTACAGTACATAGGATATGAAAGAGCCTGTCTTATGGCTCTTACAACTTTGGGCCTGGTTAGGAAGTCTAACTTGCAGATCCTTGAAGGCTCCATTCTTGAGCCTGTGTGTTGTATGATGGAACTTATCAATGACTTAATTTGAGACAACTTGAGAACTTATGTGTTCCAAGGGAAAAAAAGTTTAGACTTGTTGTTTCTCCAACCAACAAAGAATTCAGGAGCCATGATACTAGAGTCTCAATACTGCTTAAGTGCCCTGGTTATACAGAGAAGACTTTGACACAAAACCAGTTCCTAGCCTGGTTAAAATGCAAAGTTAAACCATATTCATGTTTTTAACATTTATACTGTGAATGAGATAAAATCATTAAGTATTCTATTTATATATTTGGTGAAAATTATATGATTTTAAACTATAAAATTATTAATTTTCTTCCAAATAGATCAAAAATTACAATGATATCACTGTCCTCAGTTCAGATGTCTCAAATTTTTAAATATTACATTTTTTGTTATCTTCATATAAATCCAGTACAAATTCAATCACCATTTTACTCTTTGTTTCTGCTATAGTGTTAGGACTATTATTGCTTGATACATTAATGTTTATACTAACAAGCTCTTTATATCTGTTAAACATGGAGACTACTAGCATTTCAAGACTACAAGTGATCTTATTGGGCATCTAATTCAGATCTCTTATTTCGGTTAGAGAAAGATTTTCAAGTTTTCAGATTACATTCACATTTACCAATAGCACATTGGTAAAATATCATACTAGGATTGGTTTTTGATTTTTGTTTTTCCTTTTCTCAAGCTATCCCTACCATATCTTATTCTTTGCAATACTTCCACTTTAGGTCCTGTTTCCCTCTGATTTGGCAAGAGAGACAATCTTGTAATAATTACTTGCATTCTAGCTCTAAAGAGTTCAGCTAAGAAATTTTCTCTTCATTAAGAGTAACTGGATCACTGCAGAATGACTACTGAAGTAATATTACATTATCGAGCATATGAGAGCGATCCCACACAACTGCCAGAAATTGCAGAAAAAATAATTCAAGACTTCCCTACCCGTCCACTATCAAGATTTATTCCTTGGTTTCCACATGATGGGTCCAAACTTCCACTCAAACCTAAAAGATCACCACCTGTGATTTCTGGAGAAGCAGCTGAAGATATGAAACAGTGCTTAACCATTTCAGAACATGATGTTAAATCACAGAATTATGATTGCACAGTAGATCTATTGGATTTTCAACCTAGTTTGAAAAAGCAGCACTTAATCCAGTCACACACACTGAATGAACAGACTAATTCTGGAAATCCGGATAAACAGTCAGAAAAACAAAACCGGCACAAGAGGAGGTCTTGGAGTGTTTCAGTTCCCAGCAATAATTGTACTGAAAAGATTTTTCCTTTGTCTAAAAAATTGCAAGATATTTTAAAGGCACTAAATTTGCACTCATTTTATAGAGGAAGGTGGACAATAGAACACACTACTTGTAACAACCAAACTCTGGAAGACATTTGGGCAAAACTCAATCAAATTATCAGGCACAATGAACTTCCATCTTGTAATGCTACAATTCAGAGACATTTAGGCCAAATATGGGTGTTCTGTGATGTTATGTACTGTGAGTATGTTGGAAATCTTCTTAAAGGAAGATTGGCTCTTACTGGAAAAATTAATTTATTTGTCCATAAATATGGTGTTATTTTTAGTATGTAATGAATTCCACTGATTGTGAAAAAGAATATTCTGAAAGAATTGAGTATGGACTGAAATATTGAGATGAATAATTTTTTTACTGGTTTTTAATAATGACTTTATTTTTTTATGTGACCTTTTAATATAGCCTATTTATTTTTAACATTGTGGGAAAATAATTGTGTGATAATATGTGTACAGTTTGTGTCCCAAAAATGAGTAAGTATCAGGTGAATTCCTAAGCAGGTCAATTAAGTCAAGAACTTTCTGGATTCCACTTATTAGCAGCCTTATTTAAAATAAATTGTGATAAATTATTGTTTATACTGAATTTGAAGGTAAAATGTTCTGTTCCCTTTATTCTGTTACTTTTCTAGTGATTGAATTAGATATTCCTATTAAGGTGAATAGTTTGGATTTTGGTGGATCCCTAAAATCTAGTTTTACTGTATTTTTTCTTTACTCACCTGAAGTGTAATGTTTTAAATAAAACTAAAAACTATCCTATCAGGAATGCTATTCAGGTGGCATGAATGTAGTTCAAAGTGGGAGACCAACCCAGCTTCTTAATGTTATTTCCAAAGATATGTATAACAGTTGATATGTTGTTTTGAAAAAAAGGTACAAAAAGTTTAATTTGCTAAAGACCATATTGTATCCTTAAAGCTATAACCTGTTTTGAAGGAAAGTATCAACTGTGGATAAGATATCAAATTATTCTTCATTATTCCAAGTTTTGTAATAGCCTTATAAGCATGTACTTATTTAACAAATTTAAATGCCTTCCTTGTTCTGGGTGCTAGGATATAGTAGGGAAGGACACAAACACGAACCCAGCTCTTAGAGCTTACATGGGGTTACAATTAAGTCAAACCAGCTCCCTGAGGAAAAACAGTAAGACTGTACTCATTAGGAAGGCAGAGACATGTTTGCCTTGTAGCACAGCGCCTGGCATGGAAGGAGCTCAATAATATAGAAAATTTGCTTTTGGAGGGATTCTTCATAGCCTGAGCTGGCTAAGGTTGCTTAAAATA